AATATATCTATTACCTCATATAGTTACTTTTTCATGGTGAGAATACTTAAGATCTACTCTCTTAGCAAATTTCAAGTATAACATCACATACTGTACATTAAGTCTCCAGAGTTTATTCATCTTATAACGGCAAGTTTATAGTTTGCAAACTTTGACCAATATCTTCCCCTCTCCTGATCCCCCAGCCAGTAACTACATTTCTACTCTATTTATCTTATGTAGTAGAATTATGTAGTGTTTCTTTCTGTGCCTGGCTTATTTCACAAAGAATAATGGCTTCCACGCTTATCCATGTTGCTGCAAATGCCAGGATTTCCTTCTTTTTTAAAGGATGAATAATATTCCATTGTCTATACTGTGCACAACATTTTCTTTATCCATCTATCAATGGACACTTAATTGTTGTTGTATATTCTGGCCATTGTGGATAATACTGTAATGACCATGAGTGTGCAGATATCTCTTCAAGACAGTGATTTGATTTCATTTAGATGAACAACCAGAAGTAGGATTTCTGGATCATATGGTAATTCTATTTTTAATTTGAGAAATTTCAGTACTGTACTAATTTGCATTCCTGCCAACAATGAACAAGGTTCCCTTTCTCTGTTTCCTCCTCAACATTTATCTTTTATTAACTATGATTCTTTTTTATTTTTTTGGTTTTTTGAGACAGGGTCTCGCTATGTAGTTCAGGCTGGCTTTGAACTTGTGGTGATGCTCCTGCCTCAGACTCCCAAGTCCTGGGATTACAGGTGTGTGCCACCACACCTGACTGGTAACCATGATTCTAACATGTGCAAGGTGGTTTAGATTTGCATTGTCTTGATGATGAGTGATGGTATTTTTGCATGTACACCTGTTGGCCATTTATGTCTTTGGAAAATATATTTATTTAAGTCTTTTTAAATTGAGTTACTTGCTTTTTCCTGAGTTATTTAAGTTCCTTATATATTTTAGGTATTAGCCTTTTATCCAGGTACATGGATGCAAATATTTTCTCTCATTCTGTCAGTTGTATTTCATTTTGTTATTTCCTTTTTCTGCAGATACTTTTTAGTTTAATATTGTCTTGTTTATTTTGTATTTGCTTTTGTTGTCATATCTGAAAAAAATCATTATTGAAACCAACACAATGGAGCTTTCCCATGTTTTCTTCTAGGAATCAGATGGTTCCAGGTCTTACATTTAAATTTTTAATCCACTCTCAGTTGATTTTTGTATATGATATAAGGACTCAATTCATTTTTTTACACGGTGGTATTCAGTTTTCTCATTTATTGAAGAGACTATCCTGGGCCAGAGATTTAGCTCAGTGGCATCGCGCCTGCCTCGCAAGCACAAGGTTCTGAGTTTGATCCCTGGCACCAAAAAAAAAGAGACTATCATTTTTCCACTGTGTATTCTTCTATTCTTCACTCTTTTGTTGAATAGTAGTTGATTTTTTCTGAACTTTCTATTCTGTTCTCTTGACTGTTATTGTGCTAATACCACACTATTTTGATTAGCTTGGTAATGTAACTTAAAATCAGGTAGTATAATGCCTCCATCTTGGTTGCTCTTACTGAAGATTGCTTTCATTATTCCAAATCTTTTATATAGTTCTGTGAGACCTAACTAACTCTATTTGAAAGTTTGACTCCATCTTAAAATAAGACAGTGAAGTGGCCTTGACATGAATTCCACTTCACTGAGGTCAACTATTCCCCTAGTCTCCTTTGTGCCCATAAAATAATGATAAAATGTCCTTGCTGTGGGACAACAGATAAAAAAAGGACACAGCTCCTAACTCAATCCTCTGTCTGCCCAGAAAACAGACGCTCCCGGGCCCATTATCTATAAAACATTCTGTCAATGTGCTGATTGTTCCTTTTTCCCATAAACTCTACATGTAGCCACCCCTCAACCCCCCATGCTTGCTAAATATCAACCAATCATGTAACTGCTAAATGAAACATCCCCAAACCTTGCGGTAGCCACAATAAAAACCCTGCTGATTTGAAATTCGGGGCTCTCAATCCTGATCCGCTGTGTCGGTGACGGTTGAGTGCCCCTGCTCGAGCTTGAATAAACGACCCTCGTGTGTTTACATCGGAATCGGCTCCTTGGTGGTCTTTGGGGACTTTGGGATCTGGGCACAACAGTTCCATATGAATTTTAGGATTCCTTTTTATTTCTATAAGAAATGCCACTGAAATTTTGATAGAGACTGAATTAAATCCATAGACTGTTTGGGGTAATGTGGACATTTTAACCATATTGATTCTGTTGGCAGAGTCTCTAAATGGCTTCATGTGGACTCAGCTTCCTCTCAAAGGAGCTGTCTGCATGGCTGGCTCCTCCTGAAGAGCCCTTCAGTGTACACACCAGGTCAGTTGGCAGTTTTCTGGTGAAGTAACAGTGGGATTCCCTGCATGCATGGCCCTCTTTGTTCAGGTGAGAAGGAAAATGACCATACCGATGAGCAGGCACAATCCTTGCTACCAGGCAATGTGTCCACATAACAGGAAGGTGGCCCATCTATTTCACATACTTGGAGAAAAGACTCAAAGAAGGGAAATGCTAAATGGACCTGCTGGCTCCAGGATTTAGTTCCAGATCATGTTTTAGTTATCTGAAGGTCCTCTACAGAATTTTTAAGACTTGGAAGAGAACAGAAGAGCTGTCCCTGGATTTCTCTGTGGCCTCCACAATGCTTGAAAGGCCTGCAGGAGCAGAATGGAAAGTTCTGTGCCCAGACTTCAGACACTGGCTCTTCTATTTCTTCCTGTGTGGGCAAAGAAAAAGTAGCTCTGGAAGTCCTTCTATCTATGGGTGTGGTCGAGCACATCCTTGGTCTCCAGTTGGCATTTGCTCCCTCTCTGCTGGAGGCTCAGCTTCGTGAGCTGTGGGGAGAGGGGGCTGCGGGACTGATCCAAGGCTAAGGCTTCTTCATTGCCCTTACCACAGGGGTCAAGCTGCAGCTCTAGGAGCCCCGGCATCTTCTTGAATATTTCAATAAATCATTTTGTAGCAAACAAAGCAGAGAAGTTCATCTGGAAGCCCCAACTCATGTAAAATATCCAGTTAAATGAAAGGAGAAAGTAATACTATCTTCCTTCAATACACAAGGAAGCTGCTGCTCACAGATGGGAAGTGACTCATCCAAGGCCACCTCACTCTGCTTTATACTGCAAGCTTCTACCTACCCACCTACCTTCACCTCCTCACTTCTCTACAAAAATTATCTGCTCTCAGGCTCTGTCTTCTGTTCTCTTGAAGGTCCAAGGAAAGGTGGAACACAAGCACTGAGAAGGAAGCAACAAGAGTAGGCAGGGAAAGTGCGGAACTCTACTTGGCCCATTCTCCAGGTTGGTGTCAGAGGGTCTCCGTCCTAAGCCTGACTCACGCCTCTCTCCAACAGTGTCACCCAGTCACTTTCCACACAGAGGTGCAGAATAAAGTCCACAGTCACTTGAGGCTATCTATCTCAACACCAGCCACCGCCTCTTCTTGCACCAGGCATCCATGGAAGCCCATGAGTCCTCAGGAGCCATGTGCCCTCTCCTGCCTCTAGACCTTCCCTATGCTGTTTCCCAGGCCTGCAGTCTCTACTTTGGCTCACACCATCTCCCACATCCTTCCAGCCTTGGTTCCCTCCCACCTACCGCAGACAACTGTTACTCATCCACTGACCAGACCCACAAGGTTCCCGAGGGAAAGGACCTGTCTGACACTTTCGCTGTGGTAAGTTTCAGTGTCTAGTTCATAGGAACTGCTCTATAAACACTCGCTGAATAAATGTACAGACAAAAAGGACTTTTCCTAGGTTAGGCAGGTATCTATACTGAACTGCACTGTTCTCATACAGTGGTGAGGACAGAAAATAACAAGTCTTCTTCCCTCACAGTCCCTAATTTAGGGACAAAAACACAATGGAACTAGGTATGCGGGTGCACCCCTGAAATCCCAGAGGCATGAGGACTACAAGTTCAAGCCCAGATTTAGGCAACTTAGTGAAGCAGTGAGACTTTTATCTCAAAATTTAAAAAAAATTTTTAAAAGGGCTAGGGATGTAGCTCATTGCAAAGCACCTGGGTTCAATTCCCAGTACAAAAAAGGCAAAATGAATTCAAGAATCTCTTCAGAGAATATAGCTTGTTCCCAGGGTCTTTAGCATCCTTGCAACAATTCTAGCTATGGAAAAGACCCAGGCAGGTGTAGACCATCTGGGTATGTGCTGTCTTTGATTCTGATACCTTTAGCAGTTACATCCACAGATGCCTGAGTGGGCGAGAAGATCTCTATGGACCCTGTACTCCCAACTTGGCAGCGCAAAAAAATTCACCAGATTTATAGATAAACAGGAGTGCTTCAGGTGAAAAGCCAATTAGCATGTTATCTTGGATTTAAAATTACTAATTTATCCCAGATGCATTTAGATATCATAAAACTAAAAGCAATCCTCAAGGGGGCCATACTTCCAGGCAGCCCATTCCCACTTTACAAATTGCAGTTTGTTTTGAAACAGAAGGGCCCTGCATCACACCCCCCTTGGCAGACTACATTTCTTTGGGCTGGGTTTTGCTTCTCATGGCTTCTCTAAAACAGCATTGAAGTGAAAATTCCCATAATGTGCCCTGGTCTTTGTGAAAATGGCTTTAAAGTAAATACTTGGTAGAGAGAAAAGCAGGCATCACACCCAAAGTTGCTAAGAACTCCTGTGTATGATTGTATCTGCTTAAGTATATGGCTGAAGAAATCCATTAAGCCAGCAGAGGGAAACTGTCTTTCTGATGCTATAAAGAAACTGTCTGTAAATGGAATCATAACTGAAATTGCAGCACGATGTTATATAACTTCTTAAAAGAGCCATCTTGCCTCTTCTTCATGAGACCAAACCTCCTCCCTAATTTCATTCGGAGCCTATTTATTTTCTTTCTTCAAACAGGAAAAAAAAAAGGCTTTTAGGCAAAATTACAATGCTATGGCAGAGTGATATGAATAGCATCACTACCCACCTGGTTTAATTTCTTTTTTCTGCTTGCATCGCTTCAAATTTTCCACTCTTGATTCATCAATGTGGAAATTCTAAGGAACCAGAAGAATAACAGAGATCAGAGCCAGTCATACTCTGCATTGTAAACCAAAACAATCTTTTGGGAGAACAAGTTAACACTACCTGAGAACATATTAAGCATGCATATCCTGAGTCAGCCCAACATTTAGGAATTTATATCATGGATTATACTCACGTAAGTGAAAGGACAGTCAAGGAAAGATACTGTGTAGCCTCAAAAAATGGGGGAAATGATGTAAACATCTATTAATAGGGAAAGAGTTAAATTATGGTGCATCAGTAGAATGAGAAACTATACAGCTGTTGCAAAGAATGAAGATTTCATTATACTGACATGGAAAAATGTACATGCTTAGTGGTTAAAAAGCATACTGTAACCTGGGTGTGGTGATACATGCCTGTCATTCCACCTTTCTGTGAAGCCAAGGCAGGAGGCTATCAAGTTTGAATGCAGCCCAGGCAATTTGGTGACTTAGTGAGACCCTATCTTAAAATAAAAAATTAAAAAAGAGCTGTGGATATACCTCAGTGCAAAGACTCTGGGCTCATTCCTCAGTACTGCTGAAAAAAAAAGTATATTGTAAAATTGCATATATTATTTTAATAAAAGTAGTAACATGATTGTTTATTCTTATAAAAAGTACAGCATTTATAAACATATTCCTTTAAAATTTTAAAGTACACAGAGAAAAAAGGCAAACAGGCCAGGGATTTACCTCAGTGGTTTCACCGCCTGCTGCGCAAGCGCAAGGACCCGAGTTCGATCCCAGGCACCAAAAAAAAAAAAAAAAAGGCAAACAGCAAATGACAAGAATGGTTCTCTTTGAGACTCAAATTGTAAAAAAAGAAAAGACTTTGTAATTACCTACTTCTGCTTTGATTGAAAAGTTTTTTTTCACTGATTTTCCATTTATTTTTTTTTCTTTCCCAGTACTGTGGTTGGAACCCAGGGATGCTCTATCACTGAGGCTATTTTATTTATTTGGAGACACTCTTGCTATGTAGTCCAGGCTGGCCTCAAACTCACAAACTCCTTCCTCAGTCTCCCAAATGCTAGAATTACAGGTGTGTACCACCACACCCAGCCTGCCCAGGCCTCTTCTGATTTTTTATTTTGAGACAAGGTCATGCTAAATTGCCAAGGCGGGCCTCGAACTTTCAGTCCTCTTTCCTCAGCCCCCAGGGTAACTAGGATTACAGGCATATGCCACCATGCCCAGTTGATTTTCTACTTCTGAAAGTCACACTTTAAGTTAAAATTTTCTGTTCTATAAATTTCCATTTATCAAAAGACACTAGAGAAATGAAATTATTTTATCTTCTCAAGAAGAAGAAAAAGGCAGCTCTTCATAGGTCTTTCTTCTTTTTTTTAGTTTCTTAAATGTCAATGATCACAAAAACTTCTGGTTTCTCTTCATTATAGACTTGCATTGGTGAATATGTTATTGCTTTGACTTCTGTTCCCTGAGGACGCTTGGAAAGTGAAAATTCTTCTCCCCACCCAATGGAAGGTAATTTGAAATTTCTTTGATCAATACTAAGTACTTTCACTTCCCGGGGTATGAAGAATTCATTAGCACTGAACTTATAAAGCCATTTATCTAAAAAGTGAAACAGAAGAGACTGCAAGTCATCTCCTTGGGCTTCTACTTCTACTGTCTGGAGGGCTCCACAGTCCCAGTGTCTGTCATGTATGCAAACATGGCCATGGCACATGGCTCGAATGCCTCCTCCAGAGTCTCTCCCCTAGCATGTAACATTCGTACTTCTGAATGACTGGAGGATACTTGGCCTTGATTGCTTTCTGGTCCTCAGTTAAATTGTAATCTCTAACATCTTCCTTTTCCTGCACCATGATTTCCGAACTCCTTTGATTGAAAATTTTTAAGGAGGTACATATAACTTTCATAACTATCAAACATACTGCCTATGTAGAACTTCACATCAAGTTAAAATATCAAAAGCAAAGGCAAAAGACATTTTCAAACAAAGACTGAGCAAGTTTACCATTCACAGACTCCAGGGACATTCTCCAAAAGAAAGGAAATTGGACTGGGCTAAGGATGTAACTCAGGAGTAGACTGCTTGCTTAGCACATACAAGGCCCTGGATTTAATTCCCAGAATGGCCAAAAAAAGGAGGAAGGAAACTAAATATAGAAAATATGTGAGATTTTATAATCAATAGTGAGCAAAGAAATTAATAAGCATATTGGTACATTTTCTGAAGTAAAGCAAAGCTAATGGGTGATAAAACAAATATGATAAGGTTAATCATTTGACAATAACATGGAGGAAGAAAGAGAGATCAGATCTCTGATGAAGCTGGGCATGGTGGCACACACCTTAAAATGCCAGCTGTTTGGGAGGCTGAGGTCAGCCTGCAAAACTTAGTGAAATCCTGTCTCAAAAAAAAAGGGCTGAAGATATAATTCAGTGGTAGAACACTTGCCTAGCATGTGCAAAGTTCTGGGTTCAATCCTCAGTACCATGGACAAAAAAAGAACCCTGTTGAAGTTCCCTGATGATTCAGGAAAAACATACAAATATTGCTTTACTTTAAATAATATGAGGGCCGGGGATTTCGCTCAGTGGTTCTGCTGCCTGCCTCGCAAGCACAAGGACCCGAGTTTGATCCCCAGTATGAAAAAAACCAAAATGAAACAAAATAAATAATGTGCCCATGATAGATAAACATAGTAAAGAGTAAGAACAAAAAGTAGAAATAGAACGCCTAAGTGCCAAATCAGCATGTTCTTGTATAGAAAAGACTAATTATCAAGACTGGGGATGTAGCTCAGTGGCAGAGCACTTGGCTAGCATGCACAAGGCCCTAGGTTTGATCCCCAGCACCACAAAAAGAAAAAAAAAGAGACTAATTTTCAACAAATGTCAATCTTTCTTAAATTACTACATAATTTCAATTAGGTTTCCATAAAAGTACCAATAAATTTTTTAGAGAAAGGAATAAATAAAATTATGCTTTAAAGTTCATATGGAAAAAAAAAAGTTCATATGGAATAATAAATATTCATGAAACTTGGCCAAGAAATAGTCAAGAAAATTACAAAAAATGGAGGATTTGTGTTCTGAGATGATAAAAACCTACTATAAAGATATAATAATAAGATACGCTATTAAAAACAGGTGAAGAGGGCCGGGGATTTAGCTCAGTGGTTTTGCCGCCTGCTGCATAAGCCCAAGGACCCAAGTTCGACCCCCGGTACCAAATAAAAAAACAAAAAAAAACAGGTGAAGGAAATTCACAGAAGAGAAAATGAAGTGGCCAACTGCATATGAAACATGTTCAATCTCACCAATAGTAAATAATACACTGAGTAAGCAACTATGAGACACCATTCTCTCCCATCAGCCTTGCCACAAAATAAAACAACAGAGATAGCAACAAGAAGGAGAGGAGGCAGGAAGGAGAGAATATCTAATATTGGTAAAGATTTGGGGAACTGGAAGTGCTCATATATTGTTGGAGTGTAAATTACTACAACATTTTGTAAAGTAGGATGGTATTATTTATTACAATGTCAAATATAAATACCCTTTGACTCAGCAATATTATTTTTGAAATGTAATCTACGGAAATAAAAGCACCAATAGAGTGGGATATGCATATAAGGATATTTAATGCAACAATATTTTTAGTGAAAAAAAAGTGTCTTAGTCCATTTTCTGCTACTGTAGCAGAATTCCAGAGACTGGATAAAGAAATGAAACTTATTTTGGCTCATGGTTCTAAAGGTCCAAGAGCATAAAAACATCATCAGCTCGGCTTCCGGTAAGGTCCTGCAGGTGGTGAATGGAAGGGAAGATGCATACAGGAGAGAGGGAGGGGACAAAGGAGCTGCCCTGCTTTAACAAGGGAGGCAGAGAGAGAGCTAACAGATCCCACTAGAACCCAGCCTCTGGAGGAAGACATTTACACTGCTCAAAGACTCCACCTCTCAACACGGTTACACTGGCAACCAAATTCTGACATGAGTTTCAGCAGAGACAAACCACAGCATCTAGGTAACATAAATATCTGTCAAAGGAGAAATGGCTGAATATACTGTGGTACTTCTAGATCTACAGGCCTGATACTATTGAAAAGAGTGAATTAGATCTGTATCTACCAGTGATATATAATTTACTAGGAAAAATAAATTGCAGAGTAATTGATAAAGTATGATCCCACTATGACAAAATAATCACATACACAATTAAACCATATATCCACTTTAAAAGGAGATTGGGCTGGGCATGGTGGCACATGCCTATAGTCTTAGCAGGAGGCTGAGGCAGGAGGATCACTGCAAGTTCAAGGCCAGCCTCAGCTACATAGTTCAAGACCAGCCTGAACTACATAGGGAGATTGTGTCTCAAAAATAAATAAACAAATCAATGAATTAATCAATGAATGAGTGAGTGAGCTTGGGAAAGATTGTGGAAGGATATTCACTAAATTGATGATGATGGTTACCTCAGGAAGACAGATGGGGGCGTAGGGGTAGGGAGATTATAATTTTTCTTTAAACATCTTCAAATTGTTCAGTTAGGAGTATGAGAATTGCGTAGGGGAAATTAATAAATAATAATAAACATATTGGAGCAGAGAAAGAATATTGGTAAAATGTTACTACAACCTATTTCTCTTCATATGGGATATTAAATCACATTTATTGTCACTTTCTTTTTGATCAAAATAGAATAGGTCTTCCAATCTATTGTTTTGAAAGTTGTAAGCCAAATTTTTAAAAAAACTTTACGGGGAAAAAAATCTTTAGTGGGGGAAAAAAATCTTTAGTAGAAAAAAAAGTGCCCCCTTTAAAATCCAAAAGAAGGGCAGGGGATTTAGCTCAGTGGTTTTGCCGCCTGCTGCATAAGCACAAGGACCCGAGTTCAATCCCCAGTACCAAAAAAAAACAAACCCATAAAATCCAAAAGAAAGCCTAGAACTTTCTCTCCCCCTTCCAAAGCCAAGTCCATCCACTCCTGGGAATGGCCATGTGCTGGGA